TATTAAACCTTTCTACAATACAAGCTTTTAAAATACTGAATGTCGAATATTTGTGTATGTTGTACTTGGTCATTAATGCGTCGAAAGTGGTGTTATAAAATTCTTTTCCGTTATCGAGTTGTAAAAGTTTTGGTGAGCCTTCAAGTTACCTATATTTTAAACATTGCGCCAGTTACATCTTTACCTGTTTTAGACTTGAATGGTAATGCCCAGGCTCGTTTCGTGAAACATTCAATTACGGTCAAAATGTACTTGTTATTTTTATTTTTATTGGAATATGGAATCATTTCAACCAAGTCAGCTTGCCATAAATCATTTTTCCCATACACGTTAACTCTACGTCTAATGAAAATTTTCYTCGCCTGCTTGTGAAGTTCGATTGARATTTCCCATTTAGACATCTGGAATTCRTCTTATTAGTCCAGCCTCATGTAATTCGTCGAGAATCGATATAATTTCGTTTGAAACGCTTGTATTACCAGCTGCTTTGGACGCCATAAGTAGGCGTAATCGATCGACTAACTCGTTTGGATTGTCCCAATATACTAAGTTATTTTTCTGTAATTTCATAATCAGTTCACCACCCAAGGGGAATAATTGTCTAATAACCGACGAATATTTAGAGCCGCCTTTTATAATTTTTTTTCCATCTGTAGATAAATGCGCTGATGATTGAACTAATATAGATTTATATACCTCTAAATCGTTATCAGTATAAATGAGTGGATTTTTCAAAAAGAATAACTGAATAACACCCGAGGTTGATGGATTTGTTTTCGAGAAATTTGACTTCTTTGTTGCCCAAGGTAATATCCAAGTCTGTAGACTAAAACCAGTTTTTGATTTGTTGTTGATATTCGTAAAAGTTTTTCGACTCGACGTTAATATTTTCTTTGCTCGATGGTTTATTCGACATTTTAGTTAAAGGTTCAATAATTGGTTTTAATGTCTGTGTCATTAATTGTTGAACATTATCAGAACCGGTTTTTAATGCGATATATTTACGTTTAATACTTTCCTTAGCTTTAACTAACTCATATAATACAGTAGTTGCTTCCGGCATGACTGCGTTTTAAATGATAATATTTATTCTATGCATAGTCTTATACATATATATCAAATCAAAATCTATAACGCCCGTTATCTCGCTCGCTGTCTTTACAAATAACGACAAAGGCAAACCTATCTCGGTTCCAACACGTCACACAGAAATGTTAAACTAAATATAGGACATATCACCCGAACAGTGTTCGTTGTATACATGTTTTAAATTGGTTTTATCTTGTTTGAATAATACTATTAAATTTGCATTATCACGTATCAACTGYTTAGGTACTTTTGAATAACTCTGAGCTAGATAAAATATATCTATTTCATTGTGGCGACCTCGAGAAAAATATTCCCTTATTACGTGCTGATGTTCTCCGATAACATCATCCATGATAAAAATAGAATTTGGTAAAACTTTCTCGGGTGGAATTACTTTATCATTCTCGAAAAAGGTAAAAATGTTCATACCGTCTATTCCGTCAATAATACGTTTCAATAACTTATATTTTCTTGTTCTAGCGTTTTAAAGTATATATAAACATTTTCAAAACGTAACCCGTTTTCGTCGACGAGTAAAAAATATATCTGATTCGTTTTCCCACTCCCTGAACTTCCAAGCACTAATGATCTAATCGCATTTGGAAAAAGGTCACCATGTCGCAGCTGAATTGTGTCGGGGGAATCAATGTTATAAATTCGAAGTTTTTTCTCCTGCTCGATAAAACACATTTTTCACTATAAATACAAAAGTCAGAACATTGAAAGCATCACACGATGTCACACCTTCGTAAGCGGAACAACAATAAGGGTTCTGGTCT